AGACAGGATCTCACTGTGGAGCCCTGCCTGGCCTTGAATTCACAGAGACCCACCTGCCTCTGCCTATCAGGTGCTGGCCTGTGCCACCACATCCAGGCAAGTGCAAACGTTTTGTAATGTCTCAAAATTATATCATTGGCAGCTGGATGTATAGTTCAGTAACAGAGTGTTTGTGTAGGAGGTACAAAGTTCGTATCTTAGCACCTCCAAAATTTTACAATTCTATTAACTAGCCAAGCATTTGAGTCCAGTCCTGTAATCAGGAAGATCTGGAATTTAAGGCCAGCTTCAGCTATATTGTGAGAGCGTGTCTCATAACCCCCTAAACAAAGTATACAATAAAGTAATAAAATTGTATGTAGTTGAAAATATAAAAAGCTGAGGACATAGCTCAGTGGTACAGCACTTGCCCATCCACCACACACACACAAAGGAAAATGCAAAGAAATCCAAACTATAGTTTATTAGGGTATCCAAATAAAAGGAAATTACAACCCACATGTGAGACTGGGTGTATGGAAGAAACGGATCATCTCATGAACTGGCAGGTTCATCAACACAACTGTGACTTGGGGATTTGGACAGAGTCCTGTATTATATCTGTTAAACTGCATGTAGCTGCAGGCACTCCTACAATACCAACAGTTGCAAGGTGGAGGTACGAGTACCAGACGTTCAAGGTCATCCTCAGCTACAGGGCAAGTTCGAGGACAGCCTGTGTAGCACGTCTCAACAACAAATAAAAGCCGGTGACAAGCATCTTTCGGGATGGCTCCCCCACGCTCCCTCCACTCTGGTCCTTTCACCTGCCACATCCGTCCCTGAGCTCGGTTCCATGTGAATCCCTGCCCGCTTTGTGAGGCCTCCGTCAACCTTCCCTTCCTTAGCTGAGACTATCTTTCCCTACACTGGCGAGACTTAACTACAAAGCCTCCGCCTTACAGAGTAAGCGCCCCTGAAACCGGAAGTCTAGAACTCCGCCACCCAAAGCTGGAAGCAAAACGGGAAGTACGGTCACGGCGGCTTTTTTTTTTTTTTTTTCTGTCAATCTCTGTGAGCGACTCGGAGTCTTTATTGTCCGGACTGTGAGGTCGGCACGGGCTATATGGAATTCCGCTTCATAGCGCCGTCCGGAGGTGGACTGGATCGCGGGAGGACACAGCGGTCCTGGCCGCCCGCGCCGCCGCCCGCCAGGCCGGCTCTGTGGGAGGCTGCGCGCCGTGCGTGCGCGGTCGGCGGGCGTCGTAAAACTGCCGTAATGCCGTGTCTGCTGTACGACAGCTATCATTTCGTCCACTTCCCAGCCTGCAAACCTTCATCATTTTCTTTCTTCTTTTTTAAATCACAAGGAAAAGATATTTTCGCCGTTGGATACACGTTAAAGGGAGTCCCCGAGGGTCCTCCCGCCTCATGGACCTGGCAACTGCCCTATGTACGGGTGGGCGAGCGGTGGGAGAGATTAGGCTCAGGAGTGGGGATGTGGCTGTCTCTGCTGAGCCCTGGATTCCACCCCAAGCGTTGGGGAAAAAAATCTATAGATGTATATTGCATTATGTATTTTTATTTATATTTATTATATGTACATATATGTACTTAAGTGATTCAAGAGACCCTTCTGTTCTTAAGCAAATGAACGTTTTTGTTAATTTATTACATTTTAATTGAACCCAATACATGCAAAATACTAAGACATATAATAAGTAATGAGGGGCCTGGAGAGATGGCTGTTGTGTAAGAGAACTTTCTGCTCTTACAGAGGGCCGTTCCCAGCACCTGCATGAAGGCTCACAATGTCCTAAATCTCCTTGGGATCGGACGCCCTCTTCTGGCTCCTGAAAGTACCTGCATACATGTGGTTCACACACACACACACACACACACAAATACATTTTTAAAAATTAATGAATTTTTAAAAATAATGAAACACTATTTTTTTTACTAAATTTTAAAAATCACATCTGCATTTCACACATGAATACTAACTTCAGGACTCAATGATTTATGTATAGGGTTTTTTTTTGGGGGGGGGTGGTGTTTTGAGACAGGGTTTCTCTGTGTAGCTCTGGCTGTCCTGGAACTTGCTCTGTAGACCAGGCTGGCCCAGAACCTGGACTCTACTTGTCTTTGCTTCTCAAGTGCTGGGATTAAAGACGTGTGCCACCATCACCCAGCTAGTTATCCTATTTTTATTTTTTTATTGTGTGTGTTTGTGTGTGCAGATGCTAAGACATTTGTGAAGTTCAGAGGACAACTTGCAGAAGTTTATTCAATATCATAGAGCTGGAATCACAGACGTTGTCAGCTGCCCAGTGTAGGTGCTGGGAACTGAACACATCTTGCTTTGGGAGAGTAGCAAGCACTTTTAACCCCTGACAGCTCTCTAGCCCTCTCTTTTTACTATGTGTATGCTTGTATATGGGTGTGTGGTAGTACGTGCATGTGCATATGCATGTAGAGGGCAGAAGAGACCTCAGGTGTAGTTTCTTAGGTGCTGTCCATCTTTGTTTGGAGATGGGATTTCTCACTGGCCTGGAATTCACCATATAGGTTAGGTGACTATCCAAAGAGCCCCAGGGGATCTGCCTGTCTCCACCTCCCCAGTACCTGTATCATAACCATGTACTGCCACCACACCCAATTTTCTTTTTAAAAAAAGATATTTTTTTGTATTTTTATTCATATGTATATGTGTATGTCTGTGTGTGAATATGTACATGTGAGTGTAGGTGCCTATGGAAGCCAGAGATGTCTCGTCCCCTGAAGCTGGAGTTATAGGTAGTTGTGAGCCACCCAGTGTGGGTGCTAGGGACTAGACTCAGGTCTTTCCCTAGAGCAGTATGCACTAGTAACCTCTAAGCCATGTCACCAGTTCCATGCCCAGCTCCTCTTACCTGGGGTCTGAAGATTGAACTTTGGTACTCCTACTTTTAAGGCAGGGACTTTGCCAACTGGAGGTACAGGGCTAACTCTCCAGCCTCTTTAAAAAATAAGAAGGAAGAAGGAAAAGAAAGAGAAGAAGAGGCAGAGGAAGAGAAAGAAGCTGCCACCATCACAATAGCTAGTATTCCTGGGCCACAGACTCAAGTTCAGGATCAACTTGAGTAACCTTGTGACACTCTGTCTCAAAGTAAAAGAATTGGAGATAGAGCTGAGTGATAAGAGTACTTGGCCTGTCATGTGTGATAGCCTGGGTTCTGTCACCACCACCATTACTGATGGTAATTAATAATAATAATAATAATAATAATAATAATAATAATGCAATGGAATGCATTAGTAGCTTGGCTTGTTTGTTTATTTATTTGTTTGTTTGTTTGTTTGTTTGTTTTGAGACAAGGTTTCTCTGTGTAACAGCCCTGGCTATCCTGGAACTCACTTTGTAGACTAGGATGGCCTCAAACTCACAGAGATCCACCTGCCTCTGCCTCCCACGTACTGGGATTAAAAGCATGCGCCTCCATGCCCATCTAGTGGCTCAAATTTGTAATCCTAGCACTTGGGAGGTTGAGGCAGGTGGAATTTGGGGCCAGCCTAAGCTACAGTGTGAGGTGTTGTCTCAAAACAAAACAAAAAGAAAGACTGATAGTTAATAATGAAACTCAGAAAAGATTTAGCTGCCAGGTCTTTAAGCAAGAATGAGGAGAGACTATTCAGGAACAGGAAACTTTATGAACAAAATTCAAGAGTAATTGAGAGGCAGGCATGTTCCTTTCCCAGAGGAAAACCGTCACACAGAAGAGAGGATGGTGGTAGCTGGGTTAGGAGGGTGGGCTAGGGCCAGAGAAATGGCACAGTTTGCGAGTAACATTGAAGAGATAGGTCAGGCAGTAAAGCACTTGTCACGCAAATATAAGGACATGAATGCGGTCTCGAGCACCCACACCAGAAGAGCCAGTATGGTGACTGCATTTGAAATCCCAGGACTGGGGAGGCAGAGACAAGTGGAGGATCCCTGGCCTACTTGGCAAGTTCCATGCCATTGAGAGACCTTGTGTGATTAAACAAGGTGAACAGCTCCTGAGGAACAAGACGTTAGCTTGTTCTCTGGCCTCCTCAAGCATTTGAGCATGCAAGCCTACACACACACACACACACACACACACACACACATATACACACACAGCACACACACACACACACACACACCTGGGGGTGGGGTGCTAGGTATAGATGAAGGTATGGAGTTAGGGCAAAAGCTCATAATAATTAAGTTTTAAAATATGATTGTAGTTACCTAGGCTCAGGTCATTGGTATAGAAAAGAAAAATGAAATAATTTTGAGAATCTTGAAGCTCAGATACAGGAAACTCAGCCACTTCTTGATCTGTTGATTATTGCTGAAGGTGTGGCTCTTATTAATTGCTAGGATGATCAAGCATAGTGAAAAACAACAGAACCTACAACATGGGGGAAGGAGAGAATACATTCCCCCAAGTTATCCTTTTCATGTGTGTGTTATAACATTTCTACACTTACACAATAAGTAGATATAAAAATATTTTTTCTTTTTAAAATTATTATTTTTTTGTTTTTTTGAGACAGGGTTTCTTTGTGTAGCTTTGTGCCTTTCCTCTGTAGACCAGGCTGGCCTCGAACTCACAAAGATCTTCCTGCCTCTGCCTCCCGAGTGCTGGGATTAAGACATGCGCCACCACCGCCCTGCTAAAATTAATTTTAGATCTATTTATTTTATTTTATGTGTGTGAATGTTTTGCTTACATGTATGTTTGTATCATGTGCATCCTGGAACTGGAGTTACAGATGGTTGTGAACCACCATGTGGGTGCTGGGAATTGAACCTGAGTCCTCTGCAAGAACAACAAGTGCTCTTAACCAATGAGCCATCTCTCCAGCTCTAAAACTATTTTTAAAAATAGTATGTATCTAATTTTTCTCAAGTATCTAGGATTCTGTGTATTTGACACTAGGATTGACGAACTGAAGAACGTGGACGAGGTAGATGGGAATTTTCAGGTTCTTACACCTTTTCTTTCTTCCAGGTAGTCTTCTTTCTGTTTACCCAGTCTGCCTTGAGGATAAGGAAAAGGTAGAGAACATGGTGGTCCACTGACTGAGAGGTTTTTATCAGGTATGCAGAAACTGTCACAAAATGCCAAGTGTGCCTGCACCAGGTAGAAATGTTTGCATCTAGGTAGATGTGACACTGCACCTTCACAGAGCCAGGAACCAAGACTGAAACGCCAGCTGAATTCCCCGGGGTAGCACCACACTTACTGGTGTAGCGTCATCTGAAATTCCATCAGGAGCTCAGTAACTAATGACTAATGTGGATACTCATGGTGACACGGGTACATTTTTTAGTTTGCCAAGTATTCTGACAGAATTTTAAGGTGGAAGAGCATATCTTTTGTTGAGGGGGCCGGGGAGGGAGGCCTGTAGCTCAGTTGGTACAACACACACTCACAGCTGCCTCTAACTCCAGCTCCAGGAGAGCCAGTGCACTCTTCAGCCTCCATGGACACCTGCACACATGTGCACACACAAACACACATACATATGAATAAAAGTAAAGTTAAGAAAAAAGAAATTGAAAATCACCCTCTTAGGTAGAGAGGAGGGTGAGGAGTTCAAGTTCACCTTCAGCTACACAACAAGTTAGAGACACTGGAGCTGGTGTGATGGCTCAGCAAGTGAAGGCATTTGCTGCCAACTGAGACTTAGGTTCCCATGAACTCACGTGACAGGAACAAACTAGAGTCTGCAAATTGCCCTCTGACCTCCATTTGTGTGCTGTGGTGGGTGGGCCCTGCCCCCCTCAATGAAAGAAGTTCTTTTTGGTTTGTTTGTTTTAAATTATGTGTGTGTGCTTGTATGTATATCTGTATACCATGTGCAAGTCTGGTACCTACAGAGGTCAGAGGAGGGCATCAGGACTCCTGGAAGTTAACATCTGGAGTTACAGATGGCTGTGAGACATATGTTGATGCTGGGATGAGAACAGAATCCAGATTCCAAGTGCTCTTAACCACTGAGCCATCTCCAGCCCCAAGAAACAAGTCCTCCCCCCATCTCTCAGGTTTGGTTTTTTTGTTTGTTTGTTTTTTGGTTTTTCAAGTCAAGGTTTCTCTGTGTAGTTTTGGTGCCTGTCCTGGAGCTCACTCTGTAGACCAGGCTGGTCTTGAACTCACAGAGATCTGCCTGCTGAAACAAGTTCTCTTTTTAAAAAATTCCTGAAACTAGAAAGATGATTCAGTGGGTAAAGCTCATGCTATGCGTGTGTGAGGACCAGAGTTCAAATCCCTAGAACCCATGTAAATACCAGATGAGTGTGGTAGCATTTCAGTAATTTGTAATTTCTGTCCTCTGGAGGCAGAGCCAGGATCTCTTAAGTGAGCCTGATAGTTAGACTAGCTGAATAAACGAGCATTGGTTTCAAGTAAAAGACCCTGCCTCAATGTTAGTTTGACAGGCATCAAAGAAGATACCCAGGATTGACTTTTGGCCTCTAATACACATGTACCCATACATTTGAATATCTATACACACATGGATACATATTACACACAAAAAAGTATAAATTTTTTCTTTTTCTTTTCTTCCGCCTGTGCTTGGAATTGAACCTAGGGCCTTGAATATGCTAGATAAGCACTCTACCATTAATTTGTATCTCCCAACCCAAGACTGTGCATTGAACCCTGTTTACCTAGTGTATGTGGTATGCTAAGGATACATTTTAGGGGAATAGACAGAACTGTTTTAGTTGTGAGAAGGGTCACTAAAGTCATATGTCCATAGGAAATGGACTGTGACTGTGGACAGAGAGGTCTCATAGACCGCCAATCCCTGAAGCAGACAGCGGAAGTACTCAGACAAGAGTTGGGTCTCATGTCCTCATCTACAATGAGTGTTGGTGACATGTTACTCAGACTGGCATGTGTATGATTGAGGACTCGGTGACCTCTGATGATGTGGCTGTGGACTTCACCCAAGAGGAGTGGGTTATAATGGATCAAACTCAGAGAGACCTCTACAGAGAGGTGATGCTGGAGAATACCAGAACTTGTCCTCAGCAGGTGAGATGCCATTGCCCCTCCTGGCCCTTAGGGAGGACAATGTTCTGGGCATACTGAGGATCAGCAGTCTTGATCTGAACTCACTAAGAAATAAAGACACACATGGTGCAGTGGTTTCCGAGACAGGGTTTCTCTGTGTGGCCCTGGCTGTCCTGGAACTCACTCTGTAGACCAGGCTGGCCTCGAACTCACAGATGTGTGCTACCACTGCCTGGCTCAATTTTAATCATGATTTGTTTTATTTTTTTTGTTGTTGTTTTAGATTTTTTTCATTTAATTTTATGTGTATGAGTGTTTTCCTATATAAATGTATGTGTGCATGTATGTATGTTCAGAATTCACAGGAGGGCAGTGGATCCCCTTAAACTGGAGCTACAAATGATGTGAGCCATTTCTGGGTTCAGTGCTGGGAATCAGGTCCTCTGTAGGAGCAGCCAGTGCTATTAACTGCTGAGCCAGCTCTCCAGCCTCCCAATAGTCTGAGTTTCAACAGCAAAACTAGTATGAATTTCTTTTTTCTTCTCAATTTCACAGATTGAAGATTCTTCCTGAAAGCTGAGTATAGGGGCTGGGGATGTGGCTCAGCGGCGAGAATGTCTGCCTGGCATGCGTGAAGCCCTGGGTTTAACCCCTTACCACAAAAACTGATGTGGTAACACATATCTGTAATCCCATTCCTCGGAGGGTGGAGGCAGGAAGCTCAACTACATAGCCAGGCCGAGTCACATGGATTCGTTTTTTGTGGGGTTTTTTTGGTTTGGTTTTTCAAGACAGGGTTTCTCTGTGTAACAGCTCTGGCTGTCATGGAACTCGCTTTGTAGACTTGAAATTCCAGAGATCTCTGCCTGTCTCTGCCTCCCAGGTGCTGAGATTAAAGGTGTACACCACCACCACCTGGTCACTACATGAATTTTTATATTTTACCTCCCTCCCAAAAAAACCTCACACAAAAGTCAGGTATGGTGGGATCCTTCTGTAATCTCAGCACTTGAGAGGTTGAAGCAGAAGTATCACCTAGAGTTTGAGGCCCATCTAGGCTACGTGGGTTCAAGGCCAGTGGAGGCTATATAACAAAACCCTATCTCAAAATAAACAATTAAATAGAAATCAAAGAGGGGAAAAACAAACATCTTTTTTAAAATTTATTTTTATTTTTATGAAAAATACATCACAGGCATGCAATTGCCCAAGGAGGTCAGAGGAGGGCATTGGATCCCCGGAACAGCTGTCAGCTGCCTCAAGAGCAGCAGATGCTCCTAAGTGCTAAGCCATCGCTCCAGCAACCCACCCCATACCTTTTTTCCTTAGGAGCCCTGGCTGGCCTAGAACTTGCTGTCTAAAACAAGCTGGCCTCGAACTCTCAGAGAGAGCCTGCCTCCCTCCCAAGTGCTGGGAGTAAAGGTGTGTACTATCACACCTGGTTCAAGAATCATTCTTACTGTAGATATTAAGACACTAGCTAGCCAGGCATGGTGGCACATTCCTTTAATCCCAGCACTCAGGAGGCAGAGGCAGGTGAATCTCTGAATTTGAGGCTAGCCTGGTCTACAGAGTGAGTTCCAGGACAGCCAGGACTGTTATACAGAGAAACCCTGTAGCAAAAAAAAAAAAAAAAGATACTGCTTCAGCATAAGAATAGGGTCTGCCTCCGTATTCATGCTGGCCTCAAACTTTGTATGTAAACCAAACTGCCTTTGAACTCACTCACTGTCTTCCTGCCTCCTTCCAAATACTGTAATTAAGGTGTGTGTGCAGGCTCTGGTGGCGCATGCCTTTAATCCCAGCACTGGGAGGCAGAGACAGGTGGATCTCTGTGGGTTTGAGGCCAGCCTGGTCTACAGAGCGAGTTCCAGGAAAGGTGCAAAGCCACACAGAGAAACCCTGTCTCGAAAAACCAAAAAAAACCCAAAGGAGAGAGAACTTTCTCTAAAACAAAAACAAAACAAAACAAAAGATGTATGTGCTGTACCTTGTTCATTATTTTTTCTACTCTTTTGCTCTTTGGTCTTTTGGGGGCCCACCATCCAGCTCCCAAATAAATCACACATGAAGGCTTATTTTTTCTGAATGCCAGGCCTTAGCTTGGCTTGTTGCTAGCCAGCTTTTCCTAACTTAAATTATCCCTGTCTACCTTTTGTCTCTGGGTTTTACCTTTCTCTTACTTCTGTACATCTTACTTAGTGGCTGGCTGGGTGTCTGGGTGTCTGGGTGTCTGGGTGTCTGGGTGTCTGGGTGTCTGGGTGGCTGGCTCCTAGCATCCTCCTCTCCTTGTTCTCTTGCTCGCTCTTCTTTTCCTCCCAGATTTCTCCTTCTATTTATTCTTTCTGCCTGCCAGCCCCACCTATCCTTTCTCCTGCCTTGCTATTGGCCATTCAGCTCTTTATTAAACCATCAGGTGTTTTAGACAGGCAAAGTAACACAGCTTCACAGTATTAAACAAATGCACCATAAAGGAATGGAGCATATCTTTGCATCATTAAACAAATGTTCCACATTACAAACAAATGTAACATATCTTAAAATAATATTCTCCAACAATATCTGACTTGAAAACTTTTAACTTTTTTATTTAAATGAAGTACTCTATGTCTTCTCTTTGGCATAACCAGACTGGCAGCATCACTACTACACTGTTTCAGGGCACTTATTAAGTAGAAAGTGACAGGTTATCTGACAAGTGAGGGTACACACAGTGTGGATATGATGGGCAAAGGGGTGACTTCACCCCAGGCTGGTTAGAGGAGGAGGCTGTGAGCTTTCTTCAGCTACTTATAGAGTTGTGCAGTTGAAAACTTAGAAATTATTTCTGGAATTCTCTGTATAATATTTTTTGTTTCCAGTTGATGGTGAATTACTTAACCTATAGAAACTAATATTGGGGGTGTGAGGCAACTTCTATAATGTGTGTGTGTGTGCATTTATATACATGTGTACTGTGTGTGTGAATGCAGGCATGTGTGCACAGGGCATGTGTAGAGGGAGGTAATCAGACAAACTCTGGTGTCAGTCCTCACCTTTCATCTTAGATAGGGTTTCTTTGTTGTATTTCTGCTCATATACCAGGCTAGCTGGCCTGTAAGCTCCTGGGCTTCTCCTATTTCTGCCTCCTATCTCTTCATGAGTACTAGGATTATAGACGCTGTGTTCCTGTGTCTGGCTTCTACATGGGTTCTGGGGATTTGAATTCAGGCCTTCATGCTTGTGTAGCAGAGCTCTATCCATCAAGCTTTCTCCCCATCCCCATAAGATATTTTCTTACTTTTTAGAATTATATTTGTGCATGGTGTGTGTGAGAGAGAGAGCTTGGACACACATGTGCCATGGTGATTGTATGGTCAAAAGAAACTGTCAGGAGTCCATTCTCTTCTGCAGCTGTGAATTCCAGAGACTGAACTCAAGTCGTCAGGCTTACACAGCAAATGGTTTTACCCCCTAAGTCATCTCACCAGTCTCCCTGTAAGCTTTAATATAATATCATGGTTGTCAAAATGTGGCCCAGTATCAATGCCATCATCCTATTAGGAATGTAAAGGAAATCGGAGTATATCCTTGTCACATATTTTTTATTTGTAGAGGGGTATTTGCTTTTACAGATCTGGGGAATACACCTAGGCCTTGAACATGCTAGGCAAGTGCTTTACCACTGCGCTACACCCCTAACTCCTAGCATCTAAGCGTTACTATTTTTTTTTTTAAACAGGAGAACTCACTCTGTAGCTCTGGCTGTCCTGAAACTATGTAGAACAGGCTGGCCTCAAACTTAGATCCACTTGCCTCTGCCTCCCCAGTGCTGGGATTAAAGGCTTGCATCACCACACCCAGCTCCTAGCATCTAAATTTTAACAAGCTATTGTGATAAATCTGATACACTGTAATCTGTGAGATACTGGGGTAACTTTTTCCCTTCACTTTGTTTTCTGTTTGGCTTCACTCTGTTTTCTGTTTGGCTGAGTGTTAGTGTTTTGTTAATATATGTATGAGCTTTAACTTGGGTTTTAGTTCAGGAAAAGGTGATCTACATGCTTATCCTTTTGAAACACTTCCCGTGCATTCTTTAGAAACAGAGCTCGTCGGGGCTGGGAACAGTGGCACACATCTTTCCTTCTAGCACTTGGAAAGCTCACACAGGAGGGCTGGTTGGCCTGAGTTACATAATGTGAGATTCCATCTCACACAACAAGAAAAAAACAAAGCTAGAATAATGACTCAGTGCTTAAGAACACTTGCTGCTCTTTCAGTCCCAGCACCCACACTGGGCAGCTCCCAACCACCTGTAACTCTAGCTTCCAGGGATCTGATGCCCTCTTCCGGCCACTAAGGGCACTTTCACATAGGTACACACACACAAAAAAAAAAAACCCAGACACATACAAATAAGTAATAAAAAAATAAATCTTAAAAAAAAACAGGAAGGGGAGCTGGAGAGATGGCTCAGAAGTTAAGAGCACTGGCTTCTCTTCCAGAGGACCAGAGTTCAATTCCCAGCACCTATGTGGTGCCTCACAACTGTCTGTAGCTCCAGTTCCAGGGGATCCAATGCCCTTTTCTGATCTCCAAGGACACTACACACATAAGGTGAACAGACAGAGTATGCAAGCAAAACACCATATGCATAAAATAATAATAATAATAATAAACAATAGTATATAACAAAGTGCAATAAAATATAATACTGTATTATTATTATTAATTATTATTGGCTGGAGAGCTGGCTTAGAGGTTAAGGCCACTTGTTGCTCTTGCAGAGGACCTGGGTTCAATTCCCAGCACCCACATGGTGGTTCACAACCATCTGTAACTCCAATTCAGGGGCATCCTGTGCCCTCTTCTGAACTCCTCTGACCCCAAGTACACACATGGTACACATACATACATACAGGAAAAACACTCCTACATAAAATAAAATAAATAAATCTAATAAATAAATTAGAAAAAAGAAAAAATGTGTGGGGAGTGGTGGTGATGCCTCACCTGGGAAAGTGCTTCACAGGGAAGTATGAGTGTCTGAGTTCAGATCCTCAGTACCATTTAAAAAGCCAAGTGTAATGGCTGCACCTGTAGTTCCTACAGTGGCGAGGGGGAAATTGGAGGGTCCCTGGGGGCCTCCTCGGACAGTCTAGCTGAATTAGTGAGCTCCAGGTACAGTGTGGGTGTGTTTCAAAAAATTATGTAGCCAGGAAGGTGTAGTGATTCATGCCTTTAATCCCAGCACTTGGGAAGCAGAGGAAGGATCTCTGTGAATTTGAGGCCAGCCTGATCTACATAGTGAGTTCTAGGCCAGCCAGGGCTACATAGTGAGACCCTGTCTCAAATTTAAAAACAAAAACAAAGAACTGGATATGCTGGCATGCACTTGTAATCCCAGTCCTTGGTAGAGGAGGATCTGGAGGGTTCACTGGTTAGCCAGCCTAGTCTTAATCAGTGAACCCCAAGTCCTAGTGAGAGACCTCGCCTTAGAAAACAAGCTACAGGGCTAGGGAGATGGCTGAAGGGTGACGTGCTTGGCTGTGCCATCATGAGGACCATAGTCTGCACTCCAAACCCTGTGAAAAGTAGGCAGGCACCGTGGCTGCCTGTGGTCCCCAGCACTCAGAAGAGAGACAGGAGATCCCCTGGAAAGTTGGCAAGCGACACTGGCTGGAGCTGATGAGCCCTGGGTGCAGCACAAGACCCTGCCTCACACACATATGTGTACACATGTGCACTCAGAACTACACATACACATACAAAGGGAGAGAGGGTCCTAAATTTACTGTTTCTTTTTTTTTTTTTTTTTCTGTCAAGTACGAGCCACATCCAAGAATACTTTTTTTTCCCCGTGTGTAGGATGTGAGGTCATCAAACCCAGTCTGATCTCCTGGTTGGAGGAAGAAGATTTACAGGCAGTACAAAGAGACCGTTTCCAGGGTGAGTATTCATGGGGAAATAATTGGAATCAGGAAGTTCCTTAAGTTTGAAAATAGGATGAAGTTTTTGTTTGTTTGTTTTCTTCCCTTTGATTCAGGGACTTACTGTGTAGCCCAGGCTGGCCCCTCCAGTATTTCCATCTTTATCTTCTGGGTTCTGGGGTTGTTGGTGTGCACTGCCACACACAGCCATAATGAACCTCCCCCCCCCCCCCCCCCCCCCGTATTAGGGATTAAACCTTGAGCTTGCTTAGGCAAACACTCTTACAACCGAGCTGTATCTCCAGTCTTATAATGTAAGTTTCAAAGTTTCTGATCTCAGAAAGTGCCAGCCCTTTATCTCAGAAGCAATTCTGGATTTCTTACACTTTGCTCAGGCTTTTTCTGTGATCCCACAAAAATGCCTGTTATGTTCCTCTTTTATAATCTTGTCCTGTGCTATGTTGAGATCTTTCCTCATCATTATCCCTAATAATATTCTTTTTCACCATCAGTTTTCATTTTTAAAAAGCAATTTGTAGTTGGGTGGTGGTGGCACACACCTTTAATATCAGCACTCAGAAGGCAAAGGCAGGTGAATATCTTGGGTTTGAGGCCAGCCTGGTCTACAAAGCAAGTTCCAGGACAGCCAGGGCTAACAGAGAGACCCTTGGGGGGAAAATAAAAAGGAGAAAATTGTAATAAACTGTCTAAAACTATGACTCACATTTTTACCCTTGCCAAGTTTTAATCTATTAAAATTATCAAAACTTAGTTTCTTTATTTTTGTATTTTTATTGATTTATTTTGGTGGGATCTCACACTGTAGCCATGGCTGGCCTTAAACTCAGAGTCATCCTGCCTCAGCCTCCTGACACTGTTCACTACACTGAGCAAGATTTGTCACTTTCTACTCCTGCAACATACGTCTCATTGATTTTGTTTTGTTTTTATATCTTTTTTTAGAATGGGAAATGCAAGACACCTTGAGAGAACAAACTTTCAATGTGGTGCAAATGGTAAGACTAATCAAGGATGTTTATTAGTTCCTATACTCTGAAAAGACTAGAAATTCCACTGTGGAAAGTAAATGTCATCCACTCAGGATGGTGTGGGTAGGGGAGCAGCATTTTAAACCAGAAGCACTCAATATAACGGTGTCAAACCCATCATGAAACCAAATCCTGCAAGGTTCCCACAAGTGTACATCCTGCATGTGTAACTAGACATTGAATTTTTTTTAACTTTTTATTGATTCTTTGTGGATTTCACATCATGTATTCCAATTCATCTTCCCAACTCTTCATATCTACCCTTTGACCTTGCAACCTTCCCCTCAAAATAAAATAAAATTTAAAAGAAAAAAATCTCATTGTGGAAGCTGTAGTATGGCTCAGTGAGTCACACAGTGTACCCTTCGGTCCACACATCTGGCTCAAGGCCTCTGGCCTCTGCTGCACTATAGATTCTGGTGTATAAACACAGTCCCTCACTGGGACTACTTTTACATATTCTGTCGTTGCCCTGTGTCATGGAGATCCTGCAGCTTTGGCTCTGTAGGACGGGCCCCTCTTCACATGCTCCAGCAGTTCTCATTGGGGTGGGCCAACTCCTAGCCCTGGTTCTGGGCCTGGGTGGTTCTGGACTAGGTTGGTCAGCCCACCAGCTCTCCCTCATCCTCACCACCAGGGGGAGCTCACCCAATGCAGTAGGCAGCAAGGGGCGGGGCCTGTTCTCCTGCTCTCACGCCATTGGGGGCCTGCTCACCTGCACCCACACCACCAGGCTCAGCTCTACTGGTTTGCCCAGGTGAGGTTCAGGGCCCACTCTCCTGAGTGCCTGCAGCTGTTGAGGGGCAGGGCCAGCTTTCCCACCGCCACAGGTGGCAAGGGAAGGGTGAGGGCATCTTTCCCTCACCCAGGCACCATATGGCAGACAAGGAGGGGCAGGGCCAGCTCTCCCATTCTCACACCTCAGGGCTGGCTCACCTGTGCCCCTCAGGGTGCCCAACAGGCTCAGCTCTACTATGTTGCCCATGAATTTTTAAAGCAGTTTATTTGTGTGTCGTGTGTGTGTGTGTGTGTGTGTGTGTGTGTGTGTGTGTGTGTATACTCATGTGCACACTGGCATACATGTACCAGGGAAAGCTTATGTCATGGCCTCTTGTGGAAGTCAGAGGAGACTTTTAGGAGTTGGTTCTCTCCTTCAGCCATGCTGAGTCAGCATCTCTTGTGTCTACTACTACATAAGTTTCTGACCAGGTCTCCTGTTTCTGCCTTCCACGTCAAAGCAGTAGTGCTGGAATTACAGATGCGTGCTACTGTATCTAGTTTGGGGGCATCCAGTGTCCACCGTCAGGCTTGCATGGCAAGCACTTTACTTGCTAAGCCATCTTCCTGGCTCTTTAAAACAACTTTGTAACATGCTTAACATTTTTTAAAACATTTAAGCTGATTCTAGCACTATTGTTCCTCCAGCTTGATTAGCAATCACAGAGCAACATTAAGAATGTCATGAAAACGGTAAAAATCATAATCATCCTCTAAGTAATACATTAAAAAAAGATAGGGTCTCATGTAGCCCCTATCCTCAGAGTTGCTATGTTGCTAAGGATAGCAAGTCCTGACCTGCCGATCTTCATCTCCTAAATGCTGGGTTATAAGTACAGCACCATGCCATCTCTAAAATAATGTACTTTAATCATTATTCATTCATACAGAGAAGGTGCAACAGTGTTGTGACCTCTAAAATTAATTTACAGAAATTCCTTACAAGATTATGAAAGAATTGAGAATTCATCTGTAGCAAATTAGTGCAAATGAGAAACATTTAAGAGAAATGGCATTCTCCTTTGTTTTGTTGTTGTTGTTGTTTTGGTTTTCTAAGACAAGGTTTCTCTGTGTAACTTTGCGCCTTTCCTGGAACTCACTTGGTAGCCCAGGCTGGCCTCAAACTCACAGAGATCTGCCTGCCTCTGCCTCCCGAGTGCTGGGATTAAAGGAATGCACCACCACCGCCTGGCCGGCATTCTCCTTTGTAAGAGAACTCTCTCTTTGATGGATATTATGAATTTGGTGAATTTGGGGTGCCATAATCCATGCTTAAAAGTTTGGGCTTCAGAATTTCCACAAATATGCATCCTCAACATATGTAGCTCTGCTTTGAGAGTCTTTAAAGAATTTTATGAAGACATGCATGAATCATTTCAAAGTTAGAACAGATTATAGATAATTCTTGCATTAGAATTGAACTTGGAAAAAAAGCAGAAATTGTATACATGCAATAAGAATTTTAAGCATCTAATAATATTCTGTCTTCATAAGGGTTGAAACCCTTAATTTTGAACAACCATTGGTTATATTGATTCTCCTCAACAGGCAGGAAGGCACAGTGCTTGGGAACTCTGTGATTATATGCAACATAAAGATATCTTCAGAGAGCATTCATATGTTAAAAGACATATGAAAACTGAAAATTCAAAGAACACCTGTGTAGCTAGAGTTTTCCTGCCTTGCCCATAGTCAGGACAAATCTTTGTCACCCGCCAGTCCCACAGCCGCTCAGACCCAACCAAGTAAACACAGAGACTTATATTGCATATAAACTGTATGGCCGTGGCAGGCTTCTTGCTAACTGTTCTTATAGCTTAAATTAATCCATTTCCATAAATCTATACCTTGCCACGTGGCTGGTGGCTTACCAGCGTCTTCACATGCTGCTGATCATGGCGGCAGCTGGCAGTGTCTCTCTGCCTCAGCCTTCTGCTTCCCAGAATTCTCCTCTCTCCTTGTCCCACCTACTTCCTGCCTGGCCACTGGCCAATCAGTGTTTTATTTATTGACCAATCAGAGCAACAGATTTGACATACAGACCGTCCCACAGCACACCTGTGACTCTAATCAGTATGGAAAGCACTTTCCCACTCTGCATAAGAAACCATCTATGAGACAGGAACTTTCTGTATTGAATCAGTATGCAGGAGACTTTAGTCTGACCCCAAATGTTACTCACCGGAAAACAGGCTTGCAAGACAAATCTGTTGAATGCACTGACTTCCTTAATTAGTCGTATTTTAAGGCACATATAAGAATCTATAATGGGGAAGAATTCTGTGAATTGACTCAATTTGCAGGAGATTTTACATGTTCTCCAAGTAGAGTTCTGCCTATTCAAAAGTATATCATAAGAGCCTATGAGTGTAAGATTTGTGGGAAAGTCTTTGGCTGTTCTTCAAATCTTAATAGTCACACGCGAACCCACACTGGGGAGAAGCCCTATGAATGTAAGGTTTGTGGGAAAGTCTTTGGGTATTCTTCAAATCTTAATAGTAATATGCGAACCCACACTGGGGAAAAACTTTATGAATTTAAAATATGTAAGAAATCAGAGAAATCTTACACCGAGAATGGAAATATTCCTGTAACATCATGAGTGTAGGTACAATGAGAACCCAGATTTTATTTTTTCTCTTCAGATCTACTCTACAGACTGGCAACACAATCAGACTGCATTGCTGAGTCAGTCAACAATGAGACTGACAATAAGCCTTCTTTGGGATCTGTCCTTCTGTGTACTATACAGTGTGGAAACAGAAACTCTTTTGGAATTTAATCACAATGAACATGGCTGACATCATGTTCTGCTGTGTTGCAAACCATCTCTAGCAATTCCTGGATGTAGCCCATGGGTGCAGATGCCAAAATCAGCACTAGCAGGTTTCAGTCTCAGTGATCCAAATTTGTGTATTTCTGATGCTTGAACAACTTTGGGTTTTGTCCTGTAAGGCCATTAGGGCTGTGCCACCCAATGGCTCTTTCTGTGGCTCATATTCTATCCAAAGTAGCAGTGATCTAATACAAGCTCAACAATAAACCCCAAATGGAAGAGATCTGTGCACCTGTGTGTTGTGAACTTGTAGTGAAGAATGTGTTATGGAGTAGTTCTTTTGCAGGTATGAGTTTGCTGTTTAACATGTGTTGTTTTTAATGTTGACACTGACACCATAAATCAGCAGATCAGTTTGTTTTGTTTCTTTCCATAACCAGGGTCTTCCTATGTAAGCCAGACTGACCTCAAACTTGTAATCTTCCTGCCTCATCTCATAACTGCTGGGATTGCAAATGTGTACCACCATATTGATTCAAGCTGTTGACTGAATTAATAATTAAATTCCAATTGCAAACAACCAGGTCATAATTATGCCTAAATATATACCCCTCATACAACTGCAAATGCATTATAAATTTAGAATAGGTGGCAAAGTCCCTTGAGAGACATTCCTTTAGTATCTCAAATATGGCAACCATTGATATTCTTTTAATTGACGTTACATCACATGATAAAAAAAGGAAAGAAAACACAAATATCTGTACAAATGCATTAAGAAAATACAACAGAAACACTCATGTCAATTACAATTCTCCTTTCTGCAACTGGTCATGTGGTCTTAGCTGGTATTTATAACTACCTTCCTCTGCTACCCATTCTGGATTTCCTCTAGTCTCAGCAAGCACCTCAGCAGGCCTTGGCTCTTTTCCTGGAGGAGTGACCCACACCTTCACTCCTGACAGGTCTGTGCACTTTGTCACCCTGCCTGGAAGGCTATTGCAGTTTTCCATTGACTTTAATCACAGGACATGATAACACCAAGAGATACCCAAAAGCAGTGGTTCTCAACCTGTGGATTATTATCCCTTTGTGGGTCAAATGACCTTTTCACGGGGGTTGCATATCAGTTACTCACATATCAGATATTTACATTACAATTCATAACAGCAGCAAAATTAGTTATGAAGTAGCAGCAAAAATAATTTTATGGTTGGGGGTTACCACAACATGAGGAACTATATTAAATGGTCACAGCACTGGGAGGGTTGAGAATCACTGCCCTAAAGGATCTCCTGCACTCCAGACATAACCTTTCTTACCTCCATGGTGGAGAAGCAATTTCCCCTTGGAAATATGGATTACTCACCCCCTCTAACACTGCTATTCCTTTCTTAGCCTGTTAGCTCAAGTGCATCAGAAGACAAAGTGGCCATTAGAAATCTGAGCGTCCGGTTCAATGCATTGTTTGTTGTGGCTCCTGGTAGGAGTGCTTCCCCTCAGGAACCAAAACTTCTAGGCCAGCAGCAGAACTTAAAGTTGTGGCAACAGGAAGAAAAATTATCCTAGTGGGTCACTAGGGGTGACAGTGAGTGGAATTAGACCCTTTTCCATCCCTTTACTCCTAGAGCCATAGATCCTGTCTGTGGGAGACACCATATCATCAATTGGATGCTGATTCAAAACAGACCACCTGGAGAACCCTGCCTCAGCCCTCCAGGCTGCAGCCATCTAATTGGTGTTTAACTGTGTCATCACCAC